GAGAGAGAGAGAGAGAGAGAGAGAGAGAGAGAGAGAGAGAGAGGGTGGAACAAGTGTGTTGTGCAGCCTCAAATCGTACCTGTCGGGGGAGTTTTTCACAACGAATGTTTGCCGTGCTTCGCTGTCCTTGAACGGGTCAAATGCAGATCTTAGATTGTCGATATTGCAGTATGCATTTGGCGCATGACCAGCACTCCGGGGTCCGCCGTTTTTGTACTTGCACGCTTGGCCGCGAAACGTTAATGCTTATTTGTCGGAGCGCTGTACGGCGCACCTTTGACGTTCGGCGTGCTGAGCGTGTGCTGTTTATTGCTGAAAACACGAATTCCAACCCCGTGATAATCCCTTGGTTTGTGGTTAAAAAATGCATACAACCGGCCATCGGGTTTTGTTCTGGTCAGCAAGCTGTGGTAGGTGTACGCGTTCATGTTCCAAACGTACCGAAATGTGCCGATTGTTCACTTGCTCTTGCTCTTAAACTTCGCTCATCTGAGTTTCCAATTGACTGTTAAGCACCAGCATATTCATGTTTTTGTTTTGTCACCGCGGGGGCGAGCGGTGTGGCGCCGGCGGAAGAAGTTGAGCGTTTTGTTTTTCACGAAGACCTTCGTTTGCGTCTCTTCTTACCGTTATTATTGTCGTTTTGTGTTGGTCGTGATGGATGGTTTGGCTGCAGGACCCTGTGGGACTAGAGAAGATATTGTAAAGGTCGGGCCAGGGTCGCCGTCACAAACTATTGAAAGCAACCCTCTAACTTAACACAATTTGAGAAGGTTGCATGCATGTCTCGAGAACTTGAGGTGGGGAAACTTAACTCCTTGGAGGGCCAGCAAACACCAGTTTCCCTAGACTCTATAGGTTGTTGCCCTACAACCCTTCATGCATGTCCCTTGTGACAACTCGCCACGGACGCTTCCTTCGTCGAAGAACGCTGCTATCTTCACCTGAGAGCGCTTTCTCCACGCCACCACTACCGCCCTCGGTATCATAGGACAGGCGGAGGGGCATCCATGGTTCGCAAGGATGCGCTATACCAGCTGCTGTCACAATGTGGTCGCCATCTGTGACATAAAATTCAACAGCCCACTTTTCACCGGGTGTTTCGATAATTCCCCCGCATCCAACACTATAGACTAGTGCACTTCTGGGGGTTTGACCCCGGAGGTCTCGGCCCATGAACCTACAACTTCACAGGGAGATCAATCACCACCTGCAGTGAACGATGAGACCGAAAACTCTAGGAAAGGGCTAGGTGGACGCGTTTCGACAGTGCCGGGACACGTGCCGTTGCCGTGATGGTCGCCAACGAATGCCGGGGTGGCGAGTCTGAACCAAGAGAGCCGGTAACGGTATTTTGTGGAGAGGGACAAAACAAGGGTGTTATCCTCAACAACTCTCCTCATTTTGTTGACGGATATACTACACCACCAACAACCCCATTGCTGGTTCGCTGGCAAGGGAGCAAACAGAAGGCACATCACTGGATCGCCTTCTACGAACCAGGCCAATCTCGCAGATCTCAAAGCAAGGGACTGAAGGACCTCCACATATCCGCCCTGCGAATTTCGTCCCCACCTCCCGATAACGGAACGTCTCATGCGTCTCACCGGACAAACAATTTGAGCAGGCAAGTCAGTGACGTTGTGGAGAGGATCGCGCGATCGCCAACGGACAGAAAGTGGGTGGTCCCCGCGACGTTGCTGTAGGAGGTCACGTGACGTAACCGGCAATGTTTATTGGGAGCTCGTTCAATCCCGCCGGGGTGATATCCCAGTTTTTTTTGACGACGCCAATCTCGTTGGATGGAGATACAAATGCTGATGTAGTCTAAGTCTAATCGTGCGGTGTTGCTGTCGACCACACTCCATACAGAAGCGTTCAGGGAGAAGGATGGCACAAGTTGCCATGTTCCCGCTGTTGCCTCCTCCTCCGGGTTTCGGTTGCCTTCTTGTAGAAGACATGCGAGCGGAATGAAGCACCTGTTTGTACAGACAGTACAGTCCATCCTGCTCGTGGGGAATTGACTCACAAAATAGACGAGCTCTCGGTGTGTACGGGTCGGGTAGTACAGTAGACTTTTAAGGATCATCGTGCCATGCTGATTGCACCCACCCCTGATCTTCATAAATCTTATCCTTCCCGCGGCCGCCCCTTGATGTGATTTTGCTCTTTCGTCTCCCTCCTTCGCGCAGGGCCTCACTCTGTGCTTCCTGCGAGATCCTCATCATCTCCGTAACATCTCCGAACCACCAGCAAGACACGCGCATGGCGAGAACATCAGAAGCAATTCCTCCTGGCTTCCACACTTACGATCCGCGCCAATGGGTAATTCGCCATCAACGGCTAGTTTCGCAGATATTCGCACCATCAGAGATTGAGGGTTTTTCTACCGTGACAGATAAGTCGATGAACAGCACTCCAATCGGAGAAGCAGGCGAGATAATTCACTGTGCCGCCTCGCAGGGCCTCACTTTCGCCGTCCAAGCCTTGCTTGCAGAACGGCGTACCGCCTGTGACGCAAAAGATCGCTTCGGCAAAACTCCTCTTCACTGGGCTGCCGGACAAGGACACGTCGACACTGTCTTGGCGCTCGTGAATGCCGGAGCCTTGGTCGACTCTCGCGACCATTTCAACGCCACACCACTCATGCTCGCGGCCTTGGGAGGGCACGAGCACGTCGTTCACTGTCTGCTGTATGCCGGGGCTGGTGCGCCCAACCGTTACAACTGCCAAGGGCGTTGTCACGCCGAATTGAGGAGTACCGCCCTTCACTATGCCGCTGAGGGTGGTCACGTTGGAGTTATCATAGCCCTGCTGAGCGCTGGCTTCTGCAACGGTCAGCCCGACGAGACCGGTGTAACCGCAGCCGAGATATCCGCCAGAGTGGGGCACGAGTCATCACGGGAAGCCACCCGTCGGCTCCTAGGCGGTGACAGAGGGGGCAAGCTGGTCTACGACTACGTCAACATGGTCAGCCAGGACGTGGCTACCGTGTGCGGTCTGGCCCAAGGCGGGGCGTTTCTGGATTGGCAGGACAACCACAGGAGACGCTCTCCGTTGCACCGGGCGGTGTACTTTGGGCACTTTCAGATTCTCAAGATCCTACTCGCTGCTGGCGCCAACCCAAACGTCGCCGACAACCATGCCGTTACCCCGTTGCATATGGTTGCCGTCAAGGGATGCGAGGCTGAGGCTGCCGAACTGCTCTGTGCCGGAGCAGATACGCATGCACGCACGGATGACAGCTATACGCCGCTACATCTGGCCGTCGTCTACAACAGGATTGGTGTCACGAGGCTACTCCTAGACGCTTCGGCATCCTCCCTCGAAGTCCGCGATAGTTTCCACGGTATCACGCCGCTCGCATGGGCGTCCAAGCTCTCCTTCACTACCATGCTGCGCATTTTGCTGAGTATGGGAGCCGACGTCAACTCTAGGTCTCCAGCGGGCTTGACCCCCCTCCACTGGGCGTGCCGCTTCAACAGTGCTGACATCGTCGAGTGCTTGCTATTAGCGGGAGCCGATCCCGACTCTTTGGATAACGAGGGTGCCGACGCTGGCTCTGTGACTGGCCTTGGCGACCCTCCCGGCCATACGGGACCTCAAAGCCCACCCATTCTTCCTGGAGCGGCGAATCAAACCGGCCGGCCAAAGAACGGAGCGTTGGCGACCCGCATTCAGCTGGCTCTGTCGAAGGCCAGGAAGGATCGCACTTGGCGTCGTCGGGGCTGGTTGGTCGTGCTGGCTAGGAGGCAAGCGATGACGATGGCTGTGGTGCCTGGCACTACTTCCAGAGCTTCGAAGACTTACGTGCGTGGCAACCAGGGGCATCCTAGGATGACCATACCAAGGATTCCGGTGATGACAGGTGTGGACGGAAAGATGGTCGTTGAGGATCTCACTGGTGCCGACCAGAAACGGACCCGAGTGGCCAACGAAACCTTCAGCGCTGACGGCGGAGGGGCCGAAACCTGCCGTAAAGAAAACCCCGACCTGCACTGTAAGCAAACAAGCATCGTCCGTGGGGAGGGGGCGTCTTCCTTCCACCGATTTTTCGATGGCACTGGCACCAATTTCACCTCACTGCTATCAGCGCCATCCTCGGCTCAGCTCGGTTCGACTGGTGGCGATATCACCGGCTACGTCGGCAGTGGCACTGGCTGGGCGCCTGAACGGGGGGCTATTGAGACTTTGCTCTGGCTGGCTGCTATGGAAGAGGGTGTTTTCCGTAATGTGATGCGCTTTGTTTAGCGGGGTAAAACGTAGATTTACAGGGAGGGCCCGACGTCGGTCAGGCGAACGTTTAGGTGGAGCACTCACTTCATGGACCGACTAATATGATCAAATGCACTGTTCTTCAGGGAACGGGTTACGCTTCACTCACAAGCCTACGGATCCCGCATACCGGGAGAAGTGCTTTGCCCAGCACCCAGGGCACTTCACTTGAATGAACTTGTGAGGATCGTCGAAATGTCACGCTTGCTGGCGAAGTGAAATGACAGAAGAACAGCATCTCCTGCATTTTCTCCGTAGATGGGGTTACATTTTCGGATGTACGAAAGCTGTACATGTGACACGTTTCCGATGTCGTGTTCGATGTTGGTGCTCGGTGTGGATTGTAATTGACTGTGTATATGATAAGAACTTCAAGGGTGCTGGGATAAGCATGCGCTTTTCTAGAGGAAGGTTCAGCGCGACCCCCAGGCGTCATCCGCTCCTCTGTGGGGTAGAGTTTCCGCATATATATGTAGCGGTCAGTCACGCTCGGTCGTACCTCCGGTGAAACGTGCCGTCTGCTATTTCTCCTGCGAACATACCCGTGCCTCTTCCGGTTAAAAGCGTTCACAGCACCATTCACTCTTCACTCTTGGTCATGTCGGAGGAGGTGATGGAGAGCTAAACAGACAAGCGTCACTTCCATATCTTCCTCGAGTTAACTCCTCCTCTGAATCCCCTCCACGCCAATTCATTGAATCATATTGTGTTGCATTGAGAATCAGTTTTCGAATTGGTCGGTACATCCATGGCATTCTCCCTAGACACGAAAACCTGTTTATATAGGTAGTAAACAATAATGCAAAAGTACGCCTGTTTTCTAGACGTCTATGCGGTAACGTAGTGAAAGGATTTCACCTATTTTTCACATCGCACAACGAGAATGATTCATTCCTCGGTTCTCAGTTTCTCAATCCGCCTGTAGTAGATCATTCATAAGTCGTTCATGTATTTCTCAAACCACTTTCCTCTCCTCGCGTTTTCTTCTTGTCCAGATGTGTTCCACCAGGCGTCGAGCTCGAAACCAAATCCCCCTCTATGCACACATACCACGTCATGTTCCGTTCCATACACGTTGAAAAATCAATAGCTTCTTGTGCTGTCCAACGATGTGTTCACTCCACCCGTAAGGGCGGGGACACGACTAACCTCGCCCAGACAATATTGCTTGGTTGTAGGTCCAAACTTCGCCGCATCTTGAAACCTAACACCACGTTATTTCCTTGAATTTGCGCATGGATTGTTCGCTGATATCCTCCAATGGCTAACAACGGGGTGTGTGAAAGAGGGTCTCGATAAGCTTGGTACCATGGGTAAACTAGAGACAGGAGTGTGTCCAGGCTTTTCTTTGCAAGAGTGCAAGCCCCTCGAAAAATTAGACACCGCATGTACCTTCAAGTCTAAGGTCGACTCGGGCGCTTGTGTTGCTGGTGGCACACAACACCGTCAGCAGCTGGAGACTGCCTCAGATCGGAATCGCTGCCGACCCAGCCCAACCAGTATAGTTCAAGCCTGAGTACAGCACTGACTGGTGGGATCCGTCGTTGGATGAAAAACGAGATGAAATCAACATGTAGTGGGCGGAGAAACTGACTGTTCAGCTCCATTCGTTCTGTTGTCATGGTGATAGGCGGCTTCCTCCTGTCAGCAGCTTTGGCATTCGGACTGCTACTGTAGGTGTATCTTTCGGGCACGTAGGCAAAGGGTCTTCTTGTCACCATCGGTACTACCGAACCATCATTACGGTGCCTCATGCGCCGAACAGTACGTAAGGCGTTTTCAGATACAAGTTTCCTTGAGCAATCAAGGGTGCTGGCACACGTTGTCACGAGACATCCTCCGCCAAGCGAAGAAAGGAGCACAGTTATTATCCCTGGGATTCAAAACAATGCCGCACTCGGCCCTTGCCTTCGCGATATTTTCAAGGGGAAGCATCAATAAAACAAACGAATCGACATACAAAAAACAAGACAAAGCAGCTAAAGCTATATAGATAACGATGAAACCACAAAAAAATAATGAGAATGGAGGCCAGGGTAGACGACGAATTGCGAAGGCCCGCAGGTGTTTACCTTACACATTAAACATGCCGGGAGCAACCTGGTGAAGACGGAGGAAAAAACAAATACAACGAACAGGACCGGCCAGTCGCGCACTTCCAACACGATAAAACCCGTACGTAGCGATGCCGCAACACGAAATCACCACCACTCAAGTATCACACCAAAAGCGAACACCACCTCGCCCTGCTCAGTTGAGCATACCATGGGGGCAGCCAGTCAAACCAAGCTACACGCATCCCCCGCATCACAGCCCCCTTTTTTACGACGAATCTATAGGGACGGGATCATCCTCTGGCGCTGCCAAATCTAGAGAGGGACCCTCCTGTCGTTTTCAAGCAGTAGCTTCATGGGTAATCCCGCCGTAGCTCAACCCCCCCCGGCCGCGTCCACCACTATCCAGGCATCTCCTCTGTTCTCCCTCACAATGATTTGTTCATACAAGACGCGCATGACGGGAAAGGGAGAAAATCTATCCAAGACGCATGTTTGCAAAGGTGGTGCTTTCGTTGGCGTGGTCTAACTCGTCCATCGGCAGCTCGGCCGGTCTTCACTCAGCGACTCGGACGAGAGATCCGGTGGGATATCCACACTCAGCTGCCCCAGCAGTGGAGAACAAGCACGCTACACCTGTTCATATGAGTGCTACTTACTATCGTCTGTACAGGTCGTTGCCCCATGTAGCTGTCACATGGAAAACCTTTCGGACGTCTACCCCCAATAATTCATGAAATACGAGGAAGGACACCATAGCTAGACCCCCGGTGGGGTGCGGGCAAGACCGCACACCCCGCACAGCAACGTAAAGCCCAAACAACGGTTCATGACGAGACCCTTCGACCAATAACCGACGTGGCCGAATGGCTGCGCAGGATGGCGAGATCTAGGATACAGCACCCTACGCTAGTGCTCAAGGTGCATCAAACTCCACCGGTGTTGCTCGCGCAGTCGGCCGTTCTTTACGCGTCCAATCGTCCCACCCCGGCAACAGCGTGACAACACGGCTGGCCACCACCGTACTCCTCCCTGCCTTGCGACTTCCACGTTGGGAACGAAAACAACACGCGTATGTTCCAAAGACACGTCCACCACACACGCCCGCCAAATAGCTGCCCGTTCGTTGGAGAAGCGAGTCATCGTACACAAGCCGACGTGAACGCCATGTCGAAGACATGTTGAGGATTGCGGGAGCAAACTTTGACCCGGCTCGCTAAACAGGGCGGAAGGGAAACTCCCACGCTTCACGCCTCGCCAATAGCTTCCACGAAACGAACAAGCGTTCGGTGATGGGTCTGTTTAAAAGTTTCGCGCCTCCCCAATAGCTCATACGCTAGCAGGCAGAAAACTCTTCGGAAAACACCTGAAGCGTTTCAACCCTGTAACAGCTCCTGCAAGGCAGACAACTCTTCAGGAAACACCCGAAACGTGTCACGAGTGTCGAAGAAGTAGCACCCGCCAGGCAGACACGCGGGAAGGGGAGCTGCCCAACGCCAGCGGCGCCGAGCTCAGACCCACGCCTGCGGCGGGGGCCGCTCCAGTCGCACAATTTCGGCCAGTGAGCATGCAATTACGACCTCCTGGTCGCGCTACAAAAAAAAAAAACATCTGGGCTATCTTGGCTATGCGTACACTGTCACCCCCGCCCCCCCTATATAGGAGCACTCACGCGGTGCCCCCCTCCTCTCGGCCCCGCTTGCAAGGGCCGCCAGCCGATACCGAGTGCCTTGTNCCCCGCTTGCAAGGCCCCCCAGCCGATACCGAGTGCCTTGTGGTACACGGGCAGGAAACGCTATCTCATCATTTTACGCGTATCCGTAGAGTGAGCCCAAGCTACCTTCCTCTTCTTGGGTAGGATCTTGTTTTACGTCTCACGTCTTCCTGCTCTTGATGAAATTGATCCTTTTCTCGGGACGTCAGAGTCAGAGCGCCACAGGGTTCGCCTTCTTGACCTCTGCACGCTTCCTCTGCATCCAAGACGAGCCTGGCGCAGAGTCTGCCCCGCGGATCTGGTCCGAAACCTGGGGAAGCAGAGACGCACGCACGGTCTCATCAGTCGAGTGTGTCAGCACACATCCATCCACACACAAGCAGAGCTAGCCGCCCTTGCGGAGAGATCCGGCCCGTCGCCACCCTTGCTCAAGGGGAAGGCAAGGACGGGTGAATTGCAGACGTTTCGATTCGGTTTCGACAAGCAACTGAATCGCTAGAGACGGCAAGAAAAAGTCAACCGCTGAGCCAAAAAATTCGGTCTCGACGGGCAATCACCGCAAGCAAAAGCGAGGACGAAAACGATGATCATGGCGACCGCTAGACACAACACTCGTTGTTCCAGCTGGGGCAATAACTCGTGGTCCTCACCGATGACTTGAGCTGTCTCTCGATGATGTCCATACCCAGCTCATAGACGGAAGACATGAGCAGCCTCTCCTCCCGCTTAGAGGCCGCCTTGTCCTGCGATATCTTGCTCTGCACGCCACAAAAAAAACAACAACAGCGAAAAGAACGCCAACATGAGGGAGAGGTCCTCAGAACAGCAGTCACCAAAGACATCGGGCAGGCCTCGTTGACTTGTCACCATAACACAACATGCCGGCACCACAAACTGTAACGGACGTCATGTACAGCCATCCCTGCTCCAAGGACACTTAGGGGGTGTCTTCCACGAAAAGCTCCCGAAGAAAGAACTCTTCTTCATTGTTGCCCCCTTTGTATGTGCCTTGTCATTCTGCGAGGCACAATGACTCTCAAAGACGTGTCCTGAAAAACGTACCCCCGTTTTATCATTGCGGGGCCACATGCATCTGCAAAACACGCCCTCGAAATCATACCCCGCAATAAATAACTACAGCGTAAATATTCTGCGGGGCACCATGCCCCTCAAAAAACATGTCGCATATCATACGATAGCACTTGCGGACGTACGGACCGCACCTCGAGGTAGTCTATCTTCTCGTTCTTCTGGGCGATCTGCGCCTTGCAGTGCGAGATGGCCACCATGTACTTGTCCTGGAACTTGTGCAGCGTCTTCTTCGTGTACGACTCCAGCTTCTCCTTGTCCGTCTGGAGGTTGTTCACCTGGGGGTTGTTGGGCGTTGTAGTGAGTGTGGCGTTTCGCCCCGTGCAAAAAAAAAAAAACAACCAAAAAGACCAAACAAAAGTGAGAACGGGGTGTACCATTTATTCTTTTATGTATTTTTGGGTTTGGGTAGGGCACACAGAAAGACTAGCCGTTCGAGATAACACCACAGCAGTCGAAGGGCATGTGCTGAAAGTCTTTGCAGTGCGTCTCGTGTTTCTTCGGTCGTATTTTTACAACAAACACATCCAAAATCACGGAAAGGCTACATAGCCGTTCGAGATAACACCACAGCAGTCGAAGGGCATGTGTTGAAAGTCCTTGCAGTGAGTCTCGTGTTTCTTCGGTGGTATTCTTACAACAAACACATCCAAAATCACGGAAAGGCTACATAGCCGTTCGAGGTATCACCACAGAAGTCTAAGGGCATGTGTTGAAGTCTATATAGTGAGTGGGAAGAAACCGGCTGGTACTGGGCATATTGCTGAGTCTATTAGAGCCTAGTCTTGCGAGAAAATTGTCTACCTGGCTCAACGTTCATCAAGGGCACTGGTTTTCATTGTAGCTGGATTTCCTCCCACTCATTCTTCGTATGAACGCGGAGCAGACCAACCAGCGCACCTGACCTAAGGAAGCAGGAAGACGAGCACCTACTGGTTGGTTATGAACGCGAAACGTCATCATCGCTGGATACACTGCTGAACTTTTTAGTTACAAGATGATACCGTACCTGCGTCTCCCGCTCCTTGAGGCGGTCCTCCATGCTCTGTGCGGTCATACTCAGCCGCTCGCGATCGTCCGCCAGGACTCTCAGCCTGTCCATCTCCTCCTTCATGCTCTGGATCTTCGCCGAAGACTTCTCGGCCTGTTTACCGAGACGCGGTAAAACGCAGGGAGCAGTAGCATCGGGAACAACGTATCCTGTTAAGTGTCTCGTTGATTGCTGGTGGTATTGTTGTCAGAATCTTTTGCCGGAGGACTTCTTGCTGTACCCGGACGTGACAAACGCGTGTACCATGGTACGTACATGCCGGACACAGCAGTACCGGGAAAAATGTGTATTGGCGGGAGACTTTCGGAAAACCAACAAGAGGCAAGGGAGCGCAACAAACGCAGGGTTCAGGAGCACCAGGCAACGACGGCAACGGCCGAAAGCGTGCAAGAACCCCCCAGTAGTTCACGGACAACTCACACCAGCACCCAAAAATCAACCGCGAAACCGAAGCGGGGCTTGTGAAGTCCAACACATGCGCGGTCGGTAACGTCAACATCGAAATGACATGACGCCACGCGGCCTACACGACCAAAACGGAAGCGGCGGCTCATCGGAGGTTCCACTCTCCTCCTCCGCAACCTCCACACCAACAAAACCCACCTGTGCTGCGCTCTGCGGCGCCCCCTTCATCTCCGACACCAACTGCTCCAGCTTGTTGTTCTGCGGAGACGGACAGAGACGGGGGATACACCGACAATAACAGTGGTGCAAGTACGTCGTTGTCATACGGCTGCCCCGTCCTGCTGGAAATGACTGCGGCTACTCGAATCTTTTTCGCCTCAAGCAGATCACACCAGCGGGGAATATTTTCCCACGCGGGTGTCCAAAACAAGAGCGGACAGCTCCTGCAAAATTCGTACGGGCACAAGCTTCCAGCTCAAGTCCCACAAGGGAAAGAAACCGCTTGATCCTTCTACATGGCAAAAACCTGAAAGGCATGCACCGCAGAACGACCATCGAGAATAACCGGACAGGACTGAACCGTTCTCTCGTGTGACCCCCGACTGGTGCGCCCGACAACAAACCAATAGGTACACATAACCCGGCGAAGATGGGGATGACAGCCACACAGGACACAGCACCAGCACTTTTGACGGCGCCCGTCGAGACGGATGTCGTCCCTTGGTTGGTCAGCCGAGTAGAGCGGTCGATGCCACGCAGCTCACAGAAGAGCCGTTTCTTTCGCCCACACACAACTTGTGCTCGAGCTCTGGCCATCCTGATAGCGCGGTCGACGCCACATACCAGCAGCCCACATCTTACGCCCAGACACAACCCTTGCTCGAGATCTGGTCAGCCGGACAGTTCGGTCGATGCCACACAACTCTTGCTCGAGTTCTTGCCATCCTGTTCTCCCAGTCGCGGCCACTTGGCCTCAACACTTCAAAAAAGTCACATCTTCCACCCCACACAACAAACCTTTTGCTCGAGATCCGCGGCGTTCCTCTTCGCCGCCAACGCCTCCGCTGATCGCTCGTCCTTCACGCGGAGGGCGTCCTCCAGTTGCGACTGTCGCGTCACGTTACCCACGAAGAACAAAACGAGTAATGCCAAGGGGCAACAACGGCAAGGGGCGCAACAGACAGGCGTGCGCGCCGATACAGAGAGCAAGTTGGAGATGTGCACTCGCACGTACTGTTGCCGACGTTCCTCTTCGCTTGCGGGGCGAGGAGTTCGTTGACCCGTACCGTATTCCGTACCGTATTCCGGCAAGAGCAGCACTACTGGCGGGTTTCCGGGGCGACGCAAAACCTTTGACACATGTATAAAAGCATCGAAAGTCCTCTCCCCGAACGTGTGTTGTAGCGCTGGGTCCCTTTCCAGCACACCGCAACATGTTTCCCACCTCGAGCACTTCTATCCTTGAACCCCCTTGTCCGTCTTGGCCGCCACCCTCCGCCACTTGCGCCTTTAGCAGGGCGATCTCTCGATCCTTTCGTGCCACTTGCTCCCGTAGCTCTGCGCGGTTAGCTGCCCCTGGTATGTATGCCAAAAAAATTGCACGAGAGATTAGGGAGGCAAGGGACAGAGAGAGATGGGGGAGGGGTGAGGGGATAGAGAGTAGTAGCGGATCAGTGCGAGTCTTACCGCTGGAAAAAACATTCTACAATCGGCACAACCATCCAGAGGCGATCATGTAGTATACCGTTGGTTCCACCACCTGCCACCTGCCGCGACCGGGTTCTGGAATTTGGTTGTTCTGTTCCGAGAAATCATCGGGATTCTTCCATACGGATGACCGGCGTAGAAGCCGTGCTCGCGTCGTCTCGCGAAACAAGACTGAGGCCGTTACAGAAACGCGTACCCACACCCACATCTACGCACACGCAACACACACACCATCGAATAGATATTTCTGGTTGCCCTTCCTCTTTTCATCGGCCAGTGGGTGACCGCGGCCGATGCTACAAACCGAAACACCCGAAGACAAGACAACGCACTCGAATAAATATCTTCGGTTGCCTTAGAGGGATCCATTTTGATTGGTCAACCGGTTAGCGCGGCCACTGCTGACTATCACAACACGCAACATGTTTACACAGAGAAAGAAAACACACAAAAAAAAAGAAACGCAAAAAAGAAACGCAAAAACAGCAGTGACACACACACACCTTCGAGTAGATTTCTATGGTTGATTCCTTGAGAGGGATCCCATTTTCATTGGTCAGTCGGTGAGCACGGTCACTCCTTGTGAAAAAAAAAAAACGCACCCAGAAAAAATGATACAAAACACATACACGCACCTTCGAATAGATCTCTCTGGTTGCCCTTAGAGAGGTCACATGTTCATTGGTCAACCGGCTAGCGCGGCTACTGCTGACTAATAAAACAATACCAAAGTGAAAGTACAAAATAAAAGAAAAAGAGTACACAGACATACAAAAAAAGCGCAAACACACACATACACACGCCTTCGAATAGATCTCTCTGGTTGCCCTTGGAGGGGTCCTCCTCCGCGGCATCGGCGTGCGCTTTGTTCTGGTCTCGCAGGGCGATCAGCTCGTCCTCGAAGAACATCTTCGCTTGCAACGCCGCCTCCAGCTCTTCTCTCAACCTCTGCACCTCCGCCTCTTTCACCGCCACCGCCGAGGAGGCCTCGAAGTTCTGCCGCTCCAGCCCTACCGCCTGCTCCACACAGGTTTCAATTCAAGTCCGCACACGAGAGCCCCTTCAGCAGAAAGCGTGAATGCGTCTTTTTTTCATCCCGCTACAGCAGTCGTTGCTCCGACATAAGCGGGTCGAAATCGGTTGCCACGTACTCGATCCTCCTTAGGTGAGTACCCTCTTATTCCGGAAGAAAGGGCTCCTATATAAGAGAGTCGAAGGCCTCCGTCACGCCATCCTCTTGACTATATCGGAGCCACCGCTGTATACAAGAACGACGTGCTTTCCTTGTACAGCCTGATAAGAGAGGTCGATGTTAATTCAAAGGAAGACCCATGCACGTTCGAGGCTGACGAAACTTTCATTGGCCAGCCGGCTATGCGCGGTCGATGCCGAGACAAACAAACAACACCCCGGCAACACCGACGAGCTTTCAACGGTCAGCGGGTTTAGGCCGGTCGATGGTATCCAATCGAACAAACACACGTGCAAAGCATCAGAACCACCAACCTCCCGCTAACAATAGTAACGTAGCTGCAACACCTGCCCTCGACACATTCCACGTGACGTTCCCAAGCTCGACCAGCCCATCAGCCAGAACTGAACACGCGCACGCAGAACGTGGCATGCGTCAAGACCAACACCCCACTCTCTTGTCCTTGGTCGAAGCTTAAGCTTGGGTGGCGGGTGGCACGCACCTGGTCCTTGTACTGCTCTATCTTCATCGTCAGCGTGGGGATCGTCTTCGCCGTGCTCTCGAGCTTGAGCATTTGGTCCAGGTACTTGGAGTTGAGGTCGTCCAGCTCCTTCACCTGCTGGCGCAGCTCCGCCATGTCCTCCAATCGCCGCTTGTACTTGTCCACCGTCGCTTCCATCTTTCAGATCAAGCCCGGGGAGAGCGGAGGAAGGGGGGGGGG